TACAATGACTTTTTCTTTTTCACTTCCAAAAACCGTATTTTTAACAGTATTTTACTGTAAAATTACATTAAATGTAATTACATGTATTCACTGAATATAGTATGGAAACTTACTGTTAACAGGTTTTTACTGTAGCATTTTTACAGGTTTTTACTGTTAAAATCACAATCATTTTTTACAGTGTAGGCATCACAACATTGTAATGTAGAATATAGATATTTATTTTAAGATTAGCTTAAAATTGCATTTAACAGTGTCATTACATTTTTATTGCTTTAAATATTTAACTTTAAGTGATTATTTGATGATAGCAGTGGTAAATTAAATCAGTTGATAACTAAAACTGATAGATGGTACTGTAGATATACATACCAACCCTCTGGCATAAATTAGAGTAATTTTGATAAACAGAACAAAATACTGCAAGCCAACAGAAGGATCTCAACAACCATGCATGAGGTGAGAGTATCATAGAAGGATGCATACTGAATGTCCTCCAGTCCTTGAGGGAATACTGAAATCTTGATTTAATACTTGTTTCTGTCCATGACCCAAAACACTATAGATTATGGATCACGAGAGATGCCACAGGTCATATCACAGAGTATAAAAATGTGAGAATCTCTTGACAGGTGAATAAATATGGTGTTGCTTTCGAACACCTTGGGGAATTTTGCACAGAGTGTGTGTTCTTGCATGTGTGTGTCTGTGTCCATCAATCTTCCGACTTCTCCTCAATAATTCAACACCACCCCTCTCTCTCTCTCTCTCTCTCTCTCACACACACACACACACACACACACACACATTTTCCACCTGTCTTAGGAGATACTTTTAGGTCCACCATCTGATCTAAAACAGGTTGAGTATCTCATAATGATAAAAAGACCAAACAATTACAGCATATCTATAAAAGCTACATGGAAATCTCATACTCACAGGACGCACATACTGTATCAGATAATCAAACACTCCTTTACACACAATAAAACTTAAATTAAACTGCATATGTGCAAGTCATTTCTGCCGACTATCTATAGATAAGAGAAGAACCAGCGTTCTATCAGCATTTCACCATATCTTACCTCTATTATAGCAATATAATACTAACAGGCATTAATATAAAACCTTTAATTATATTAATTAAAAAGTCTGATCCCAAAAGGCACATCCAACTGCCTGAAGCTCATTTACATTGGAAAAAGCTCATTATCACATTTATAAAACCATTCACGACATACTCATACTGATAAAACTTCTTTCAAAAGTGCAACCCATTATCTACAAGAGAGTCTCATTCAACAGATGATTCACTCTCTCATTCATCTGCACAGGTATTCATTTACACATTCTTTGAGCAGTTTTACGTCCACCACAAACACCATAAAAATGGAATGAAAGAGGGAAAGTAGCAAACAGAGGAAAGGAATGCTTGAGAGTATCTCCTGAGACCACAGACAGTCATGCGGTTACCTGTGTTCAGAATGAGAAAGCCATGTGAGATACAGTTAGAGATGAAGAGACGAGGTAAAAACAAAAGTGGGTCTTACCTGAAAGAAAAGCAAGGGAAAAGGAGAGAGAGGAAAGGAGGAGAGGAGGAAGCATGATGCGTGGTGCTCTGAGAGACAAGTGAGTGTGTATCTTCTAGGCTGCTAGTTGCTGATCTGAGCAATGGAGAGAGAGAGAGAGAGAGAGAGAGAGACTCACATCTATATCACAAAGATAGTACTTGGACATGGAAACATACTCTCTGCCAAACCAGCATGATTCCTAACACACACTCACACATGTATGTGCGTAAGGAAATCCATGTGCTCTGTCTATTATTTAAGGCATCCTGTTGCTACTTTCCTGTTAAGACTTTGTAGGGCATGGAGCCTTTTTAATGTTGACAACAGAAATGTGTGTCTGTGCATGTGTATATTTGCCTACAAGAGTGGACGTGGAAACATACTCTCTGCCAAACCAGCATGATTCCTAACACACACTCACACATGTATGTGCGTAAGGAAATCCATGTGCTCTGTCTATTATTTAAGGCATCCTGTTGCTACTTTCCTGTTAAGACTTTGTAGGGCATGGAGTCTTTTTAATGTTGACAACAGAAATGTGTGTCTGTGCATGTGTATATTTGCCTACAAGAGGCAGAAACACAAAGGTGGGATGTCTTGTTGTATATATTATAAATTGTCTAAAACTATGATGAAGATCTCTCTAATCAGCTCAGACCTCAGTGGAGATCCTTCAGGGATGACTGACTGGAAACCCCTCTCTATCTCATCTTCAACTCTGTGCTTCATTTGCATGACATAAAATGCACATTTGTATTGTCAAAGTTAGCTGTGTGTAATGAGAAATTATACAATGTAGCCTACTGTGAAATGAAGTGTCATGTAATAAGTAATATAATTAAACAATTAGGCAAGATAAACTAAAGATGAAGAATAAGAATAGATGAGTAATAATGATGAGTGTAAGTTGAGTAATTGTCTCAGGATGAGGGTTACATTGTTAGCAAATTTCAAAGTCACTTACAAGGAAAAACTTCCAGGTAGTTAGACTGAGTACAACATAGCCATGTACTCAGAAAATACAGAGACGTTTCCTCACAGAGGCCATATTATATGTACTGTATTATTATGGCCCTCTATTATGGAATGCTCTACTGCTGTCAGGAATGCCTCAATCTTAAGATGTTTCGAGATTTTTTTTATTTAATCGATGTAGCTTTTCCTGTGTATTGTTCTTATTATTATTTGTCTCTTTTTGAGATGTTCCATTTTAAATTTTATTGTGTGTGTAACTTTGGTGTGAGAAAGCTGCTTTATAATTAAAATGTATATTTATTATTAGTAGTAGTAGTATAACAACTGAGAAATAATTCACAGCATCAGCGAAAACGCCCTCTCATTATTATATCTCACTTGCATCTGTGTTTACTGTTATGTCATTACTCAATTCAGTTTACAATGAGAAGATTTCCGCACATGATTCTAGTAGGCTACTTTTTAAAATCCACAGCGCCATCTAGAGGAAACCAGGCTAAAGACGCGCTGGCTGCCCCAACGTCACAGAACCGTTCGACGTCATCACCGGGCGACAACAGGAGCGTAAACAAGCCTGAAACCACATATCACATTCTGAATTTAAAAAGAAAGTAAGCGGAATTTAAACATGCCCAAAGTGGTGTCTCGGAGTGTGGTGTGCTCGGACACCCGTGACAGGGAGGAGTATGATGACGGGGAGAAACCCCTGCACGTGTATTACTGCTTGTGTGGCCAGATGGTCCTTGTTCTGGGTGAGTAACGTTAGCCACATCAAGTTTCAAGAGTCATGATCGCAGCCGGCCAGTAAATCACTGTTTACATTCAGCGAACAGTCGGCCACCAGCTGTCATACTATCCGAAATTTAAGAAATCATCGTGTTTCCAGTGTTTAACATGGTCTCTCACCCCATCGTCAGTTACTCACTTCCATCGACGCGACGAAACTCAACGCTTGCTGTGTGGATAGCTTCACTGATTATAATGGGAACTCTCTAGATTCGTCTTGCAGTGTGTGTTTGGGTTGTGTTTAGGCTTGGAGTGCAGTTTTGGTGGTGTTTCTGTTGTAAACGAATCAGTGGTTTTGAACGAATCTTCGTTCACTTCAATGGATCGACTCATATTTCGTTCACTGAAATAATTTCCTTTTGAAGCACGTAGGCTAACTGTTTGCTATTCGATTGGAGCAGAGTAAAAATTATATATAATTATGACTTATGAACATACAGAATTAAAATGAGCTAAAAGCATTGTGTGTAGTTTTCTCTTATTGTTTTTTTTTTTTTAGCTTGATAACAGTTATTTGACAATATAGGCAGTTGACAGTGGAGGTAAACGATAATAGATCTTGCTTTGATCCTTATACTTAAACAGTCTTTCTGCAGTATTGTAGTATTTTCGAACATACACATTTTAATGAATAAGCATACGACTTCTTTCGAATCTCAGTGACTTTTTATGAATCGGTTCAGTAAATGATTCAATGACTCACTAATAAAGACAGTCACTTGTCGCCACCTACTGGCTTAACAGTGTACCCTGTTGAAAGGGTAAATAAAATAATCTTTTTATAACCGATTCAAACAACTGATCAATGGTTTGAATCAAATCAAAACTGTTCCGATTTGTCCTTTAAAGGTGCACTAAGTGAATTTTGCAAACGATGTTGATATTTGAAAGCACCAAAACAAACAGGCCCATACTCCAACAGGACCTCACCCCTATTTTGATAACTCCGCCCCACACGTACATACACAACCCTGGCACCAAGGATGGCAGAATCTGCTATGCTTGCTTGCCAGCCGAGGGTATGATGTCATCGATAAGTGAAAGCGATGTGTGTTACTATGGTAATTCAACGTAAAAATCAACTTTAACTCACCTATCAAAAAGAAACAAAGCAACCTCGGCGTTCGATTCCAGGCCTTCCCCGCTCCTTGAGTTCTCTCCACAGCTAGAAATCTGCTCAAATATTTACACGGTCCTACCTCTTGCCTGATCGTAACCCTTCTTTTTCATGTTTTGTTCCTCCGAAATTTTCCTCTTTTTTTTTATCTGCCATCTCTCGCTATCTATAGTCGATCTGCTAATATCCGTCCTGTGCACTCACTGAGCGCTCTCTTCTCTCTATCATTACTAGACACGCCCCTTACTCCTGATTGGCAGCGAGTGTGTTTTGGGACTCGGTCCGACACTGCGGTCAAAAGCGTTTTTCAAATATTGCTTAGTGCACCTTTTAACTTCAGTGTGTTCTCCTCACACATGTGTCTACACCTAAACTCAGCTGAATGTGTGAACAGGAAAACGCTTTTAGAGCAGGCGGACTGATATTTCACACAACAGGGCTTTGTCCCACTCAGCCTCACTTATGCTGTGAATATTGTAGGAAAGGTGTCATTTTATACCTCTGGCGCTTCAAAGTGTGTCCTTTGGCTTGTGGATGGGACATGAGATGCTCAGTTTTTTGGGGGCATCTCAAAGCACAGGAACATCTGTGTTCATCTGAGTCCTGTTTCAGAGTCTGTCTAAATGTCAAACTCCTGCATTCAGCAAATAGACACTTGGTTTAATATAAGTATTATTTAACGGTTTAGTCTAGAGGTTAAGATCTGGGCTAGTAACTAAAATATTGTGTCTTGAAACCACCATTGTGTCACTATATTGTGAGGTTTCTTGATGGGCTTGTCCCTGTATTGTACTGTACTCTATAGCTTTGTATAAAGGTGTCATTTTAGATATCACATTTATATATTATAATGTGCTGTAGAAAGCAGAATGTGATTAATTATTTTTCTTATTGTATTTATTAATAATATAGTATATTAATTATATTACATGAATATATTAATTAGTTGTTATATATTATATTAATCTCACTGCATGATATCCTGAGGTGAAAATCTCTATGAGAAGTATTTACGTCATGAATTGATGACTTTTTTTTCCTTGTGATCACTGCCTTTTCCAGCACAGTTGTAGACGCCTTCACCTCAGCAAGAGTGTGATAATGAGAAATAACACATTTACTTGAAATATAATGAGAAGCTAAGGAGAATTGCCATGTTGTTTTTCTGCTTTTCATTCATATGGTGTTATTCATATGATTTCCTTCTAGAAATTAATTGAGTGTGATTAAACTCGCTCTCTGTGGTATTTATGTTCAATATAATGCTCGGGAATTAAACGTCTTGAAGCTGAATTGTTTTAAAGCAGGGGTGCCCAAGCTCGGTCCTGGAGGGCCGGTGTCCTGCAGAGTGTGTCCAAACCTTTATGGCTTCCATTCTTCTGTGAAACTTTTTGTCCCTAAATTGGAAGTCAATAGTCATCAAAACAGTTTGGTTCCCAACATTCGTCAAAATATCCTCTTTTGTGTTCTGTAGAAGAAAGTAAGTCATACTAGGGCTGTGCAATTAATCGCATGCGATTGTCATGCACATCTCGTCAGTAAAGCCGGTTCCGTGATTAGTAGTAAATCTCCATCACCTGTAAGTCATACAGCTTTGGAATGACACGGGGGTGAATAAATGATGACAGAATTGTTGGGAGAATTGTCCCTTTAAAAATGTCTATTCATAGCTACATTGCAATGAATTTCAACTAAATGTAACTTATATTTCAATAGTGCATTGTGTACAATCAATACAGACTAATACTGCAGACATCTGAATGTCTAGTTAATATCTATGGGGAAAGGTCAGTGAGACCATTGGTCGATAGGGCATCACCTTTCTGCTTTAAAAGAGAAGGTTTTGTCTGTTGGCTCTGCAGTGTGTGTGCTTTGTTTGAGAAGTAAAGAGAGAGATAATTAAGCTCCCATGCTCCTTTTTAGACTGTCAGATAGAGAAATTACCCATGAGGCCACGGGACAAAGCCAGAGTGATTGATGCAGCAAAACACGCCCACAAGTTTTGCAACATGGAGGAAGATGAGACTGTGTATTTGAAAAGGTGTGTGTCTGTGAGTTTGTGTTGAAATTGTGCATTGAGGCATTGATTAGGATTCACTAACCTCTGTATGTCTCTGTGCAGGTCAGAGGGCATCGAAAAACAGTTTCGCAAAAAATGTGGGAAGTAAGTAAGCCCACGTGCTCATTTCACAATATCTCACAACACACACGACATGCAGCAGGCATACAGAGTGCACGATATCTAATCATATACTGCATGAAATGTGTTAAGTACAAACACAATTATATATCACTTGGTTAAAAAATACAGTTTACTCAATAGTAGCTTAAACTTATTATACACCACGGCTCTCTGCAATAGTTGATTCTGCGGTCAAATATTTTATATTGGCTAATGGCTAAACTGTACCATACATTACCGTTCAAAAGTTTGGGTCATTAAGAATAAAAAAAAAAACGTTAGTACTTTTATTCAGCAAGGGTGCATAAAATAGTTCAAAAGTGACAGTAAAGATATTTATAATGTTACAAAAGATTTCTATTTCAAATAAATGCTGTTGAACTTACTATTTATGAGAGAATCCTGAAAAAATATTAAGCAGCATAACTGTAACAGGATAACATAATAATAAATGTTTGCACCAAATTAGCATATAGATGATTTCTGAAGAATCATGTGACACTGAAGAAAATTCAATTTTGCCATCACAGGAAAAAATTGTGAAATAAATTTAATTAATTAATTAAAATAGAAAACATTTATTTTAAATTGTATTGATATAATTATTTTAAATAGTAATTGTTCACAATATTTCTGTTTTTGCTGTATTTTTGAGTAAATGCAGCCTTGGTGAGCATAAGAGGCTTCTTTTAAAATATTCAAAAATCTTACGATCCCAAACTTTTAAACAGTAGTGTAATAAAATGATTAAATCAATATTCCATGTCCATTTATTAATTTATTTAGTAAGTAGGATTGTAATAAGCCGGATAATGTAGTCATAAATAATCCCCTTCAGGATGATACATAACTAGCTGACTTCACGATCCAATAATACATATCATTTAACCTTGCAATTTATGACTCAGTCATGAAAACCATGGTCTTTTCCAGTCATATAATCTCCTGTCCATAAATAAGCATGCACAACAGTCAGTCCCAAGCTTCCCGTGTCGCCATGACGACTCTGCCATGCTGTGCCCAAGAGGCTGACGTCAAGGCTTCGAGAATTAGATTGTAGAAATGGCAGTGTGCTTGAATGTGCTAATTATGTGTGATCTCAGCATTTTTAGCAAGTTTGATTACTGTCTGAGTCAGCTGATCTGACTATTCTCATAAATCAACTCTGAAAGTGTCTCAGGTTTGAGAAATCTGTAGGCGCTGTTTTAACTGTTTTTGTGTGTTTTGTGTAGGTGTGGCCTGCTCTTGTTTTATCAGCATCAGATGAAAAGCACTCCAGCGACGTTCATCGTGGATGGAGCGCTGGTGAAGTTCGGCCAGGGATTTGGCAACACAAGCGTATACAGCCAGAAACAAGAGGCGCCGAAGAAGGTCAGGGTAAGACAACAAGTTTTTGTTTGAAAAGATGTGAGAGAATTGCAGAATATGAGGTCAACAAGTTTGAGTAATATATGTGTGTGTTGTAGGTTATGATGACAAAGCGCACCAAAGACATGGGCAAGTTCAGCTCTGTTACTGTTTCAACCATCGATGAAGAAGAGGAAGAGATTGAAGCGGTGAGTTTAAGTTCATCAGCCTCCCATCAGGCCTGACTCAACCCTTACATCATCTCTCTTATTTGAAGAGCTGTGATTGATTGTGATTGGTTTATCCTGCAGCGGGAGGTGGCAGATTCTTATGCCCAGAATGCCAAAGTGATTGAGAAACAGCTGGAGAGGAAAGGAATGAGCAAGAGACGACTTCAGGAACTGGTAAGAGCACACACAGGAAGATGAAAGAAAAGGCGGTGTGCATTCATGCTTGAGGCAGATTGAAACTTTAATATAGTCTGCACAGCTAATGAATTTAGAGTTGAAGATGACAGAGACCCCTCACACACACACACACGCTTAATCTTATTTACCTTGGCAGCTCTTTAAAGTGGGTTGGTTAAGCAGCTGAAGGCTTGTATTTGATTATCTTAAAAAGTGTGGAGATAAGCACACACAAGTTCTTGAGTCGCACTGTAAACACACACACACACATTAGGCCATTCTGAAGCCAGGTCATGAACATAGTTTGAGGCCCCTTTTCACTTGATATGAAAGACTGTGTACTGTGTTGCGTTGTTTTTAGCTATGCTAAAAAACCCAAACAAACATACAGCGCGACTAGTGCAGTTTGATTCAAGAACAGCTGTTATCATTAATTATCATATCATAAGTTATCATTGGGATTCAGTTCGACGAACCGTTCACTGAATGAACTCATTTGACCTTATATGATAAACATATGACCTACAGTATGACTGAACACACACACACACACACTAATTATTTTTTTCATGTTTTTGAAAGAATTTCCTTATGCTCACCAATGCTGCATTTATTTGCTGAAAAATACAGTAAAAACAGTAATAGAGTGAAAAATCATAACAATTCAAAAGCAAGAATTCAAACTGCTTACATTTTTGTGGAAACTGTGATACTTTTTTTTTTTTTTCAAAAAAACAGCATTTATTTGAAATAGAAATCCTTTGTTGTAACGTTATAAGTGTCTTTACTGTCAGTTTTGGTCAATTTAATGTATTGAATGCTGAATAATGTATTTTTATTTATTAAAAATTTTTTATCTTAGCTGAAACTTATAGAATTCTGAAGGATCATGTGACACTGAAGACTGGAGTAAATGCTGCTGAAATTCAGCTTTGCCATCCCTGGAATTAATTATATTTTAATTTATATACATATAAAAAGAAAAAAGTTTTTAAAAATTACTATAACATTTTATTATACAAAAGTTTTTTACATGGTAATATTATCTAAAAAAAATCTTGTGCATATATATGGGCTGCTGGGGATGGGCAGGGGACTTCCTTGTTCCCATTTTGTTTGAAACACTGCTGTGCAGATATAAAAAACCCATAAATTAAGTGCATTTGAGCTGTAGAACCTCACTCTGGGAATTTCTGGACATGATACTAAAATTGCAGCTGAGAGGAACAGAGAGAGTTTTGCACATCTAGGCAAGAGTAAGTCTGCGGGAGATGCTGAGTTTCTTTTTGCAGTTAGTTTTAGCTATTGCACACACTTGGGCTGTCAAAATGACTGAAAAACTAAATTTGAATTTTCTACTTAAATATGATCAAAATTCGAATTATATTCAAATTTAAAAGACATAATTTCAGTTAGGGGAAAAAAAGCTTTTGGCTTCTCTCCTGAGGCCACAAGAGGGCGCATCGCGCAAAATATTATGCACGTTTCTTCAAAGCGTAATAAAATAACACGACTATCTTTGAAAAAAAAGTGCATAATGTTTAAAATAATGTTTATAAACCATATATAATTAATAAAGTTGCTTAAACAATTTGAAAAAAAAAAAAAACCAGCACCATGCATGTATTTATAGTTTAATACAAAGAACCGAAAACCAATCACAAAGAGTAGGCTACTTTCTTCACTTAAAGGGGTCCTATTATGCTCTTTTACAATGTCTTGAATTTGTTTTGAGGGTGTACTAGAACATGCTGTCATGCTTGTTGGTTCGAAAAACGCATTATTTTTTACATAATTTACATTATTACAATACCTTTCTCCCCATCCTGGCACAAACGGCATAATAACTTGCGAAAACTTGAGGCTACAGGAACACTTCTTCTTCGTCATCGTCTTGTCTGATGCACTCAACCAAGCGTTCTAACCACGACCTCGCCCCTCCCCACC